AGAGAGAGAGAGAGAGAGAGTAAAATATGGAGAAACACAGAGAGACAGTCACAAGAGAGATTGAGGCAGGGGGAGAGTTATATCAAGGAAGTCATGTGTGTTATGATCCTGGCCAATTTCGAAGCACAGAGGGAAAGAAGAAGAAGAAGATGTACACCAGCAAAGACCAATGATAATTCCCCTTCTTCTTCCCAACCAATCTCCACCTTTGTCTCCTCCCCACTTTATTCAAACAATTAGTAATAATAATGATGAATGGCCGAACCAGAATCGATGTCCAAATCCCTCTCCTACTGCAGGCACAATATGAGGTCCACCATAGCCATGGCCACCCTTCTCCTTCCTCTTCATGAAGGCCAAGGCTATGGCGGACTACTAGGGCCTTGCCCTGATGTGCAAAAGACAACTCAAAGCAGCTATGGCTGCTCCTGCTCAGGCCGCCATGCCTGGCTCTGCCTCGAAGCTTCTTGATGTAGCTCTACCATAGCCGGTAAGTACCTCTGGCGCTCCCCCTTCCTAGTCCTCTTCTTCCTCCTCCTACCCGAGCTCCACCACCATAGCCAAGGTGGGGAGATGGGCGTTCCTCTTCCTCGCGGCGCTGCTCCAACCAGCACTCCAGCAGCTTGTTGCTAAACTTGCATGCAGCAAATGAGGAGCACTTTGCTCCTCCTGGAGATGTAGCGGCCTCTCGGGCGGTAACTTCCAGGCCGCGCGGCCTCCAAGCAACCGGTACCTCCTCCTTTTCGGAGGAAAACATCATTGCAGGTCTCATATTGCCCATACAGGCCCTAGACTCAGACTACTTGGACTGGTACCCGCCTACTACTGGGCCTCTAAAAATGCCAACTTTTGTCTTCTTCTGCTCGGCTTCGAGTACCCGGCACATCTACCACTACTTGGTGTGGTACTGGCCTACCTGTACTTAGGTGTTTTCCTGTCTCTAAGTGCCGCGTGCGGACTCCCGCCACTTGAGTGTTTTCCCCCCGCTGCAACCCTCAAAGTCACGGCCACAGGTAAGTACCGGCACTTCGGGCCTCCCGAATGAACAGGTATGCTTGTGGGTCACACATGCACTCAAGCCGACAAGCACAAGCACTCAGACAGGCACGCAGACCAGCAAGCTTGCACACACACAGACTTGGAAAACTCAGCAACAAGCGGGAAACTCAGCAAGGCATACATTCCATTGGCAAAACTCAGAAATCAGCTGTGTGTCTCAGTCCGTGTTTGGCAGGTCCTTACATGTGGCTCTCTCTCTCTCTCTCTCTCTCTCTCTCTCTCTCTCTCTCTCTCTCTCTCTCTCTCTCTCTCTCTCTCTCTCTCTCTCTCTCTC